TTGTAAAAACTTCGTTAAAACAATCTTGGAAAAATATGCTTCACTTTTAAAAATATACTTGAAGCACTATGAGACTATCGCAGAATACCGTCTAAGAGATCGAATATACGCGGCTTTGGATGCGTTCTTAATTCCGAAAGTAACTCGCCGCGGCGAGATTGTAAGTCCCCGCTGCGAGATAGTAAGTCGCCGCGTCGAGATAGTATCTAAAAAAAAACTTTTTGCAGGTGGCCCTTATACGCTTCCGTACATTGGCAGACCCATCGACGCCAGGATTTTGTGTCATAGTGTTAAGAGAATGATGGTATTATGGCAAGTCGAAGGGGTGGAGAACAGGAGAGACGAATCCCATCACGAGTATATAGTATAAGACTTGAACCATTTGTAATCATCTGACCATAAAAACATATCAGAATTAAGGTAAAGTAAAAAGATACTTGTACCTTTAATCTTCCTCAACAAACGAACAGAACACTAGAGGTATATACAAAACTGTCAATTTTTGGTTTCTGGTTTGAGGACCTGTTCCCCTTTATCTTCGTGGTTTACTAATGTTCTTATTTTCAAGATCTCTGACAGACTATGTCATCCAATATTAAATACTGTGTCTTTTGAGTCTGTTGGATATCAGATTTGCAAATTCCAAGGGCTAATCCACAACCAGTTTTGTTTTGGCAGGGAGCTAAATATTTTCGGGGTGCAAATTTTTTCTAATGTATTTGGTATCACCTTAAACGGCCTTTACGTGGGGCAAAGGTAAATTTGGAGATTTTTTTAGAATGGACAAATGCATCTCGTTGCGCACAACCACTAGCGTAATGAACTTTGACTTACTTATACAAAGACGAAATTTTAGATTAAGGTTATCGGCATTGTGTTGAATTATGGAATTGTGACCAACTAAGTCATCAAACCTATCTGATTCGTCGTCTTCACAGTATGCTACATTCAATGTGGTGATATTACGTATTACTAGTAGTGTCACAATAATAATGAGTGGACTAACGCCACTAAGTTACTCCCTTGACAGTGTCAAGTTGTCAACTAATCCCATTGTTTTATTCTCAACATAATTTTGTAAACGCAGAGAGTAACGGGCCGATTTATTCTAGCCATGTAAAATTCCCTTTCAATGACTCAAGGTTGTAAAGTGAGCCATAACTACAGTGAAACTGACTTGGGCTTATATAGGCACGGCATTCTAAAAAATCCTAACATATCGTCTAACTAATCTTTGCAATCGTGAAAAACACATGTTCAGACATCTGTATCATAGGCCTGCGGAAAAGTAACTTCATTAGCCCTTGGCAAAAGTGCATGGGTGTTAAAAGATTATCTCAATTACACCAGGTCAAATGATTGAAAATGCAGACTTACCAAAGTACAGAGTTGCCGTGAGGATGACTAACGCTAAACTCATCGCGGGGTGCAGGATTTTTATTTGATCCTTTGGACAGAAGAATCTTTTCCCGATGCACACCTTCTCTCAGCTTTACTAGCGTTCAAAATTCGAAAGTCAATCAGCAAAATGTGGTCAGTTTACTCCCACAATTAACAGTCACCAGGCCTACAACGGTGTCCCTCGGGCGTATGGCCAATAAATGGGATTTCTCGCCAGAAATTGTTTGGCTAATAACAGACCAAATTCATCGGCAAAATATCTCGTCCCATTCTTCCCGACAAATGAACGAAATGGGCCGACTAAAGCTCAATCAAAAAAATCAAACGTCGAAACCATACCCGTACCGTAAACCAACTGAACAAATAATTGTCACTTCGGTTCCAAATGCTCTCCGAGTCAGGGTCTTTGCACACAACGGTTGCTTGCGTGACGAAGAGGTTATTTGCGATGCGTGACAATGCCGCACTGGTCCCCAAATCGATCAAAAGCGGCTGTGGCGCGCGGTAATAAAGTCAACGAGTGTGGCTAGCCGGCCTTTGGCGCGCTGATTAAAAACACTGTATAGTGTAAATGTAATGTCACCGACGGGAGCATCAATATTGAGTACTGTCATTTACATAATTTGCGTCATTATTCTTTCCTGCTTCAGAAAAGGTACTCTGAGAAAGTTATCGACAGACTAATTAAGAGGTACATCGATCGCAGCGAGTCCGACAGCGGTCAAATATGAGATGTCCGGAATTGGGCAAAGACATACATGCACGTATACCTGGATACGGGTGAATTTGCGTACGAGTTAACTTTTACTTGCGTGCACTTTTACGCACAATAACGTCACATTGCCCAACTAAAAGGTAGTCTGTTCTCATTCATACGGTTTCATTCTTCCTTGATACATACTCATTGGAGCGTTCATGATATTCCTCACCATTCACAAGTAGAGAGATGTCAGGGAGAACGTGGGATAACTGGAAAATACTCTCTTATAATTACCATCTTATAATTTATGAGGTAATAAACTTAATGCAATATTCTACTTCAATTATGAAAGCTTCTAATCTTTTATCTAACTCAATGGAATCTGGAACCCATCGACTGCAGGTACGTAAATTTTGCAAGGCTGTACAATCTCGTTTTCACGTAAGCACGGGCAGTAAAAACAAATGTGCATGAACATGGAGACCTAGGTACAATATCGCTGGACGTGAAAGGTCATTGAGAAAATTCGTTTTTTACCCATCTCCAGGTGACTTTTCCTGAATATTACTTGAGGAAGACAAAGGTAAAATTCCAACACGAGTGTTTCATGGGGTGGTTTCAGTTAGGAATTATTCTTCCAAAAATTATTCGAACGTAATAGGACGGCCCAATGTAAAATCCCTATAGGCCTAGGTGGACCACACAAGGGTTCCGGAAGCTTGCTGGCGACCTTTTTACTTTCAGGCTCTACCGGGCGTCACAATTTCCCGTTCGTGTTCGTGTTTTCGCCAAATATTCGGCCTTAAGTCGGGTCCACACATGGTTACCCCCCGTTCTGGGAAACAGTTCTAGAGGCATGTGGTGGTCAGGGTTACTGTCGCAAAATGAGGAGGAACAGTCAAAGAAAGCGTCATCAAAAACCTACAGCGCAGAATAGTTTACACAAATTAGGAAAAAATAGTATTTTCATAAAGTTTTCTTAACTACGCGAAAATAAAGGAATGCCCGCACAACGAAGGTAATAGCAAAGTACAGTTTGGGGAATGCATACAGTGCATGCAAGATCCCACAAAAGCCTTGCATTTCAGTATTATAAACAGCAGATGTGTAATGCACGTATCTTAAATTAATGACAGACAGACACACTTCTAATACAAGCGATAAGGGCCTACAAGTCCACAATAGAAAAAGACACAATCACGAAATGAGCTTGTAAATATGCAGGATGAACATACCATCTATCACGAGGGCGGACAAAGGTTTTATATGACTGAACCCAGACACAACAGCGATACAAAAGACAAAATCTATATTTTGATCCATCGTTTGGGGTTAAGTGCTCATCTACTGAGTTAAAAAGACACAACCAGAGTGTATCCAGTTTTCAACGTAAAGTTTGAGAAAAATATAAAAAACTTTATTCGTGGTACCGACATCCTTGCTTTTATTTCGTGATGTTGCTTTCTTAGGGTTTTGGCGCTAATATTTGATAAACAATTTTTTGTTAACATTTGATAAAAAAAATCGCCAGGGGCAAGTTGCCCCCCCCCCAGATTAAGCCACTGGACACAACAGCTGTTGGTTAACTGGTAAAAACTCGTTGGGTTTTAATTGATGACCTAAACTGCGACAGTTTATGTTTAGGTCTTGAAAAAGTCATACTATTTCACAATAAACTTGGTGACTCACAGAAATTTGAGATCATGTATTTGTAAGTTGGCATTCACTTGGCATTCAGCACTTTTTGTCATTTTCGGATCTGGTTTGGATGGAGTCACCAAGGCCATCGGATAGGATCGAACCAAGGCTGCTGAATTTGGATTTGTGTTTTCGCCTAGGGGTGTTGGATCGTATTGTCCTTTCATCTAATCTGACGCACATCTTTATGTATCTAGTACAAGCATACATTAGCCCATAAACTTGGAACTAAACTTGGCCCGAAAAATGAATGCACACACTTGCGAGTGAGACATTCAGGATTTAAGGATTAAGAAATAACAAAAAGGACTTGAAATCTGTCTATAGAGGTTACAAAAACATCTGAATTCACAAGAACATTGGAAGTTGACATGTACATGCAAGGACCACAGCATGAGACGTGTGACCCCGATATAACAGACAGGTTTGAGGTGTCAGAGTTAACTGCACAGACTTGAGGACATCGCAAGCAAAACTACAAGCAGATGCCAGGAGAGTCGACTTAAAATGTGCCGCTAGACTTGTTTAAATTTCGTACAAATATTGCAGATAATGAAGTGATGGAGCAAGGGAAAATTACCAAATGTATAATTAGTAACAAATTAAGGGGCCTTACTTTGGACAACGTTTTGAGCAACTTTTTATGCCTCTGCAATGTCCTTTTTGACATTCGGCTGCTCTATTGAATTGAAATAAAGAATCACCAAAGGAAAATATTCAGACACTAAAACATAAACGTTTTGGTGCTGACAATCACAGAATGACACAACATATTTACTAAACGAGCACGGAAATTGTTGTTACCGTAATAATCCAGAAGGCACATTATGAGTTACGTTTGGGAAGAGAGCATTAAAAAATAATCAGTCCTCTGAGATCACCACAACTGCCAACACGTAGAATTACATTGGAAACGATTGGTCAAAATAAGATTAAATACAGTGGAATCACTCGAAGGCGTGGCGTGAAGCGAGGGGTAACACCAGCTCGGGAAAGATGGATTTTGTTAGTGAAAAAAATATTTTGGTGGTATATAGCATGGTTTTAAACTTAAAAAATGGCACGTTTATTTGTGCCACAGACTTTTTCAGTGGCAACCAAATATTCATTCCTATTCAATCGAGAAATGTTCACCTAGCCGTTTCTTATACATTACCAATCTCACCTAGAAATAAAAGAGAATGGAAGAACTGTGGCACACTTCTCATAAAAAAAATGGAACATTATATTTGCATAGGCCAAATTATAGTCACCAACATACTGAAACCTTTAAAGAAAAGAATACAATGAGCATATATATATATATATATATATATATATATAAGTAAACCCTGTGATATCATAAAAGATGATGAACTGTTTTCACTTTAAATACTGTTTATAAAGCATAAAAAGAACACAGAGTTGTTGAAAAATACACTGCAGGCAAAACTCTTCAAACTATAGACGAAAATTATTTCTACGGATACGTAAAAGTAAGATATAAAATGAGGGGGCACTAAAAACTACGGTATTGTTTGTCGATTACTTTCCCGAATTCGACGGATTTACTCAAGTATAATGGTGGCTCATCAGTAGCATATTCTATTCTATTCAATCTAAATAACACATCAATTAACCCATGCAGATTCCGAAAGTTAGAAACGCTCGTAACTGTTATAAGAAAATATCAGGTACTGCCTTGACTTTTACATTAATTAACGATTTCTGTAATTTTGTCAGAAGTCTGGAAATCTACTTGAAATTTTGATCCCCCGTGGCTCCACTATACCAAAACGTCTTGTAAATTGCAGGGGATGACACGATGTAGAACAGGTATCATCAATTTAACTACATGATAGTCTGAATTCAGCATGGAATGTACATCAATGGAATGAAACAACTGGATTTTGTATAAAAAGCATTATTCATATGAGTGAATACATTTTTCATCTATAGACTGATACAAAATACAATTATTAAACAGAAAGGTAAAACCAGATTCAATCAAAACGACGAATCAGTAAATAAATAACATGAACATTTTCTTCAATATACATCCCATTCGAAAAAAAAAATCATTCCAAACCCAGACTTTCTACTCATCCTAGGCACAAAAATTCTTGAAACCAGATGTCAGAACAGAGCATTGTTTTGACCAATCAAACTTTCAACCCTTAGGATTAGAAAGAAAATTTTGTCACTCTTACGTATCACACAAGACATATAGATCATTTCACCACCAAGTTGCAACCACCACAGTGGCCAAACACAGTTACTCATATATCTTTAGTCATTGAAATCATATAGAAATTGCAAGTTATTGAAAGTGGATGACATGTTAAGCTCTATATTGGAATAAACTGAGTTAATGACAGTCCTTTGAGAAGTATTCTTACCATGTATCACACAAATATGGAACTCCACATTCAACAGTAAAAATAAATGGCACTTAAAAATCAACACAAACCTCACACTTACGTTGGACAATATTTTTTCACAGTGTAGCATGATCAAGCTGTTTAATATTTATACCTACAAATTCTCTCCGTCTTTTAGCCACAGACAGCAGAGCTCCAATAACTATGGTGTAGCATACAATGCACAATACAGCCACACAAGTACATTACATGTAACAATGAACCCAACAAGGGTTCAGTATGCAGATACAAGAGACAAAGGCACGTATGGAACCAACCACAGACATATCCATTTTATCTGAACTCATACATCCTCATAGAAAGGTTCGGTCTTATCCTGTGGAGTATTCATGAACCTTTACAGCAAGGAACAATTAACAACAGCAAGGAACAATTAACAACAGCAGGGAACAATTAACTCCTCTATATGGGGTGTGACAACCATTAAAATAAGGCAATAATCATGACATGAGAACGCCTTAATGTCTGATGTCACCACATGAAAATTAGCATCTTAGTGCATGGCTTGATACAGTATGCTCCAGAAACCACATCATCCAGTTGTAATAAAGGTGTTCTTGATGTGGGAGGAGTAGATACCTGATGACGGGTCAAAGGGCATAACCATGAAGATCCAAAAGAAATGTACGTTTAGTAGCTGTTTGCAAAATCCTTTACAGACCTGCCAACCTAGCCGTATACTTCTTCCTCAGGTCAGGCATTACCACACAATCGATTAATAGGTATTCAAATGAGCCTTCAGTTCACTGAAACTTTTAATCTATTGTGTGGTAATGCCTGACCTCAGGAAAGAGTATGGCATGTTAGCAGATAGCAAATCTTGGATACACTAGACAAGCAACTTAGGAAAGAACGAGCGGGCTTATGAAAAAGAAGAGGATGTGTTGACCAAAGCTTCATTCTACATATGCAGCATCATTGAGCAATGTGCAGAATGGTAGTGACAGCTCACAGATCATGCTTTGAGCATACAGAATTTCAAAGGCGATTATCGCTGTCATCAAGGACTTTTACGAGAACCCCACTTGTAGAGTAGGATATAGCGACATCTGCTTTGAAGGTAAGACAGGAGTAAGGCAGGGATGTGAAATGTCAGCACAACTATTCAACATAGTCACAGACTGGGTAATATGACAAACAACTGAAGACCAACCAAGAGGCATCTGATAGACTCTCTAATCCACATTGGAAGATCTTGACTTCACCGATGATGACCTGACACTCATTCTCCCACATTCATCAACATATGCAGGAAAAAACATCTTGCCTCACTAGCTTTGCACAAACAGGCCTGAGGATTAGTTATCAGAAGACAAAGGTAATGCCATTAAATGTCTCAACACTTTTCCCAATCAAAATAAGTGATATAGACCAACCCATCACTGAGGAATCTACCCATCTAGGTAGCACTGCCATCATGACCAGGGAGCAGGCAGTGACATTTAGAGTCACTTAGCAAAGCCAGAAATGCCTCCAGAATGCTGAGCAATGTATGGAGGTCTGTGCAATACAGCACCAACATCAATCTCCAACTTTATCCTACGATAGACCCGTCTTAGTGACGTCACGTTGCTACTAGAAACAGCATGATCCACCATCTTGGATTACTACCGTACTTGTTTACACGCAGGCTGCGCTTTAGCTTGCACGTTGGAATGCTTTGTATTACAGTTCTCTCGATGGGAATTCCAAGGCCCGATATGATGAAATGCTTGGCTTTATTGCTGGCATAGATCCCTACAAGGATAACCTGCGATCATGGAGTGCAGATGCTACTTTGTTGCCATCACTGGCGTATCCAGACACCGTTAATTTCCTAGTGCATTCCCCAAGCCCATACATGCTAGAGGATTTGAAATGCTACAAGGGACTCGAAGGCTACAACCAGTTTGTCAGCAGATGGGTGCGGAATGTTGTGGCAACTGTTATTAATGATCGTCATGTAGTTTCTGCCAAGGTAAGACAAACTTTGGAAGGATATATTTGGACCTTCATGAGTAAGAGTACGCTAGGCCAATATCGTAACGTTAGTTGGGCACATAGTTTCATTGTTCATTACTATTACTTCATGTAGCCTACGTGCCCTATGCTTACTTGTGCTGGTGTTGCTGATAGGCCCGGCCCTAGTCCAACAGGTAACTAGGGGAATAGTAACTAAGACCCTAAAACTGAAGATTTTTCAATCTCAGGTGGACTTGTCACTGTCAGTTTTTAAACTGACATGTCCGCCTCTGATTGAAAAATCAAAACTGACGATTTTGTAATCTGAGTTGGAAATGTCAGTTTTTAAAGTGATTGAAAAATCATCAGTTTTAGGGTCCTAGTTACTTGGACTACCTATATAGCCCAGCCCCAATGAATGTGCCCTAGACACTGGGTTAACATGCCAAACTACATGTAAGCTGCAGAGGCCTAGGACTCTAGGAGGCTATAGTCTACATGGTCTAGTGTTAAAGGTTTTGTAAACTTTTATTTTACTGTTAGGCCTACCTTTTATTTTTGTGGTAGGCCTAGGCCTGCCTGTTTTCAACTGGTTTTGTTTTGTTTCTGCTTTGGCTTTTTTGCAGGGTTTGCTGGGTGTTGACAGTTGAGTTTGCATGATGTTGGCTGCATTAAAAATCCTGCATGATCTGTTGAGCCACTTTGGAAATTAATTAAGTGGTTTAACAGTGCATGAAGGAGCCCAATTTTCTTCAGTCTACAAGTTCGAGTTTTGCATTCTAACAACTTTGAAGTGCCATTGTTCTTGTTCCAACTTAGACACAGTACCTCAAGTGATGAGTCATGATTTCCTTAATCCAGCTCCAGCATGTATTGTACATGTAAACATCTCAATAGCAATAATTATTTGAACTTTTATATGCTGGAATACATGGAGATACAGCTTTCAGTGGCAAGCAACCAACAAACCATGACAACACAATCGAAAGAACATGAATGTTTGAAGTAAAAATAGAGATGTTTCCACAGTTGAAACACCAAATAGGCCTTAAGTTGTTTTGGTCTATTATTGCTTTTAAATTAAAAGATTTGCTTAAATTTCAGTTCCACACAAACGTAACCAAGCACGACTGTTGTATTGACTCCCCGGCACTTATTATTGAAGGGTGTGTTTTCTAGGAATTCCATTATTTCATTATTTGTATTACTGATTGACTTCATCCATATTCATCGATTTACAGGTGATGCATTCTCAACGACTTTAGGAAACTCCCCTGAAGCCATGGATAATTGCAGAAAGGAGTGGCAAGGTATTGGCAGCACACTGTGACTGTATAGCTGCATTGGGGAGACGTGTACACATGTCAGTGCATTGATGTTCTACACTAACACGAAAGTCTGCATCAGAGAGTCAAAAACGGTGACCCAAGAGCCAGCTTATTGGAAGTTACCATCATCAGTAAAAGAAGCTGCCTATCTCCCTGCGTGTAAAATAGACTTTACTTCGGCCAAAACTAAGAAGCAGTTGGATATACTTGTAGATGGATCTGTCAACACAACTGATGGTGGTGATGTCAAACAAAAAGCTCAGGTACCAGCCCCACAAAAGACGAACTTGACTTGCTCTACAAAGATCTGAATGAGGCAGATACAACATCTGCAATTCTCACTGTTGTTCCTAACTACAGCCATCAATTTCATCCTGAGGGAAGCAACTTCCCCACAGTCTTACCAGGCCTGTACGACTCAAAAAATTGCAAACTGCCATTCCCAGACTTGTTGAAAAAATGTACTGAAATGTCCATTTCTGTCAGCAAGGATCAGGCAAACAATGTGGAGAAGGCCACACGTATGCAGTCGAGCAGCAAAAAAGTGGTATCAATTTCGAGCTGGCCGCATCACAGCATCGAAAATGAGGAGAGTTTACGGAACAAATTCAGATCAACCCTCTCAATCTCTCATTCAATCTGTCTATTACCCTGAAACCACTAAATTTTCTACAACGGCAACAAAATGGGGGTGAACCAATGAGGAAGATGCCCGCCGGGCATATGAGGAGAAGATGGAGCTCACTCATCACAATTTTGTGGTTAAGCAGTCTGGCTTTGTCATCAACACGAAGTATCCTTACACTGGGGCTTCACCAGATCGGCGTGTTTCCTGCGAATGTTGTGGAGAAGGTGTAATTGAAGTGAAATACCCATATTGTGCTAGTGACAGCCAAATAGAAGAATATACCTCACTGCCAAGAACATGCTTTCACTCTGACGAGGATGGAAAAATCTGTCTACTTCAAGATCATGATTATTACTACCAAGTACAAACACACACCCACCAGTGAAGCAGAGTATGCTGATTTTATTGTGTGGACTTCTGCTGACTTGCACATAGAGCGAATCGAACCAAATCAAGAGATGTGGGAGGAGATTTGTGAGAAGAGTCACAAGTTTTTTCATAAAGGCGGTACTACCAGAACTGCTTGGGAAATTTTACGCAAGACCATCCACTTCACGTGTAGCCTCGAGTGCTATGTCAATGAATCACTGTTACTGCGGCAAACCACAAAGTGAGAATGATAGCATGGTTGCATGTCACAATGACACATGCAGGATTAAATGGTTTCATCGGAGCTGTCTCCAGATAAAGCAGCTTCCAAAAGGGAAGTGGTTCTGCCCAGAGTGCCGTAAAAACCGTACATGTAAGGAGATGCCAAAATAAGACACTCACATACACACAATTTCTCTCTACATGAATGCTTTAGTTTAATGCAGAAGTTCACCATCCCTGTCAGTGTACATTCTAAACCAAAGTGTTTTCCTGTTGCTTGCAAAATACACGAAGCCAAATCCCCAATTATTTCCTTTGTCATACAAATGCAATAATCAAAATTTTTTAAGACTGGAATTTACAGGAAAGCAACAAAAACTAAGTATTCTTTATACTAAAAGTTGAATTAATTATGAAAGTGCCATTATATAGTGGTGTTGACTTGAGAAAAAAAATTGATACTAAAAAAAAATGATAGGAAAGTATTGACTCGACTCAGAAACTTTGACACAAGAATCATCTTGAATCCTATGACTTGGTTTCAACACAATCAAGAGACTTCATCTAATCAAATGGAATGACAGATGGACATGTTGGTCAGTGCACAACGTATAACTGTAATTTTGTCAAATATTGTGACTTTACTGTCACATGCTTTCACACAGTCTATGGGAATTGTGCTATGAAGAATAGTATATTTTTGACAATGACTCGCTCTACATGAATTCTTGAGTTGGCAATACGCTGTGCTTTCTCCACTTCTTCTCCTGTAAGACGAAGTCTGTCACGTCTAATTGTAGGGATAAGAAGTTTAGCCCCCATCATTCAAATGCTGTCAGAAACATCAAATCCCCTGTCTGCCATGACCACATCACCAACACACAATATGTGCAGAAAGCTACTGTGTTCAACGACAAATGTGTCACTTGCCCTGCCACCCTACCCCTCTGGTATGTAGCATATTACACCCTGTGATGTTATACCTATCAAATATTTGATTGTATTGTTTGATTTATAAGAAGACCATGTTGATGATCGTGCTGCAAGATTTGATGGCCTTTCTAAGGATACCTCAAAACAGTCAATAATCACAGTTATTTTTTGACCAAAGTGTGTTCTAAATGACATGGGCATGGTTTCCATCAACTGTTGACGATCAGGCCACTATATTAGTGGCTTTAACCTCACATACATGTTATCAATCATAATTTAAAAACAGTGTAGATGATGTCGACTTATGTACATGAAATCGGTTTCCAAGGTCCATATGGGAAAGATTTAGCCGAGGTTTCATAAGAGTGAGAACCAGTTGTTGATATTTAGTTAAAGTGTTCAAGAATGTATGTGGAATATACACTTGGAGAAAATTAAAAAGTGCAACTAGTACAGCAAAACTTGGAAGTCCTGTGTCATGCCTAACATTTTCATCATTGTCTTTGAAGATTCCCTCATCAAACTTGTTGGTGTTGGCAAGCTGCTCTTTCAGTGTTCTGTTTTCTTCCAAAAGTCGCCAGAGTTCTTTTTGTGATGCAAACATTCCCTTCAAGGTCAGTTTGGCAAACTGCTTCAGAAAGCTTACTTTCATCATCCACTGGTTGAGTCTTGTGGTCTGACCCGAGCTGTGAGAGAGCTTTTGCAGCATTATGTTTGCATTTCTGCTCGTCTCTTCACACTTCTTGCATACCTGAGTCTCGAGCGACTGAGCAACTATCTACCTTGTTGTGTCCAAGCTTCAAGCTGGGTGCCCAATCAGGATTAGTGGTATCATAGAGTGTTGATGGCTTTCCTGTGGTGTTAAATAATATGGAAAAAAGTAGGGCTCATAAAAACAAGGCCAACATAAACATAGTAACAAATAGGATATTTACCTATTAATTTTGAGGGAAATAAATATACGGTCATCTCACGCTTGACATATAACATGGGACTTGTCTCAAAAATTGAGTTTTCTTATGTTTTGAAATTCTCCAGTGCTAAATTTCACTGTCAACCATGGTCAACTGACCATTGATTGCACCTGAATTGCTTCCCTGATGGCATTTTTCAGCTGGAAAAATTGTTTCTGGGTGTTTTCTTTCTCATTACATTGCATTGGGGCCTTTTCATATTTTCCAGGATCCATGGCGAATATGAAAGACTGTAGCTGGATGATTTAGAAAGCAGTGTCAGGAATGAGCATGGTCAACTCCTTGCTCTGACATGTCTTGAGTGATGTAGCCTTGTAGGCCTACATGTACAGGCACTATTGGGAATCGGGAAGTATACTATTACGGGGTGATATCGAGTCATACATGTAACTCTTATTAATTTAGCAAACCAATTTGGCTATACGCATATTTTCAAAGGGCACTGAAATTTTGTTAATTTATGCAAAGTTACGTTCATTGCTACTCACCAGATATGAAGTGATTGGAGCAAATTCGCGTGCACTGTAAGTTTCTGTCACTGATGTTTCTGGAAACCCGTGACAACCATTCTGTCCGTCTTTTCTTTTAGTGAAAGTATGCAAGTTGCCTTACCTTCTCTTGTCAGTACAGCAGGTAAACGATAAAAAGATTTCTTATCATGTTCCCCCCCCGTTTCCACAGTCAAAGTACAGCACAAAAGTTGACCATTTTCAACAAACTACAGTACAAACTCACTTCAGTTCAAATCTTCCCGCGCGTGTGGAGTTTTATACACAGCTGACAAGTAACGGTGAAGACGTGCTCATGTATGTAATCCAAGATGGCAGATAAACAAAACTGTGACGTCATCCATGACAGGTCTATATGGGTCAGAGTGTTGGAGAAAAATACTAATGTTCTGCCCTATAATTCTTCTTTGATTACACCCACAGTATTCTCCAAAGTGTAACCCCACCAGGCTATGACTGCAGGATAGGACAGCCAAACATTTTCATTAAACATGAAATTTTACCATTATTTGAACATGCTTGACAAAAAAAATAATCAGGAGTAAAGGAAAGTCACATCTGGACCAGTTCACAAGGAAGTGGAACAGCGATCATAAATACAGTAAGAAAAGGAGAATGAATCAACCTTTAGGCCTTAAATACTTCATAATGTGTTGAAAGTTTAAACTAAAAGTCCCATAGATCATATTTCTGACTGTGCTGTACATGTATATACAAAAGGTTACACAAATGTATGCTGCATATCAAAGAGTACAGCATGGATATGAAATTGACCAATTGTGTTAGCTTATGTACACTGGCGGCAAGAGTACATGTAGACATCAAAATGACAAATTTAAAAGCCCAACATAAATCTGTAACATTTCATCCTAGCAGAGAAACAACATGTGAAAAAGACAACTACATGTACATGTACAAAAAACTCAGAAATATTTCCCTGTCCATGCTGGTCCTTATCACAAGGATATCCACAAATGCATTATGACAAAATGTTTAATTTTCCCCCATATCTCAACACATTTTTATAACGACACAGAAATTATAACAAAACCAGGATAATGTATGCATCACACTCTGTTGATTTACAACTTACAGCTTAGATTACCTTAAACATATAAGCGGAAAAACAAAATCATACACTGACAATGTCGGTTTGTTTTTTACAATACTGTATACACCAAGTCATCATTTTCACCCTATAAGTGTGTGGTCCAAATCATCCATCATTCAGGCGAAGTCAGTTGAATCATGTTTTTAAACTATAGCCATTGCTTGAACTTGCCCTTTGCTGAACAAAAGCTGGTTGCCAGCCAAAATGTGAAGGATTCTATACCTCCTGTGACCGGCGCTCCGTCAGCAGAACTTTGCTATATACAAAACTGTACATCAATCTGATGAACAACACATGGTGTTCAGAAGAAATTGGAGCCTGAAATGACATCCAACAATAACAGTAAAGTGCACTTCTATGACATCATCAGCCTGCCACTCAATCACTACCACAATTCTTCAGTCATCTCTAGTGTCTGAATCAGTCTAACCATGTAGTTCATGCACATCCCAACAACAGTGGGTGGACTCCTTTTGCTCAAGCCTACACATTCCAATTCCAAAATCACAGAACAGCAACCTATATGTAGTACTTTGTATTGCCATAAAGAAAATTCTCACAATACTTTTTACTCAATGTATCATTTCACACAAGGACCAACAATTCTTAAGCATTGCACCACACAGAAAAAACTTTCACCAATATCCCATAAGGAACTGAATAAAACTGTTTTGAAAGTAAACATTCTATCATCCACTTGGAAAATTCCACAATAAAAAGTATTGTGGAAAAAAAATACATCTTGAAAATAGCTTCACCCGACTCGGACCGGCCAGCCAACCGCGGCAAGCTCGGTGGTCGAGTGGTTAAGACGTCTGCACTAGTAAGCAGGAGGTCGTGGGTTCGAGTCCCACCCGAGCAAACTTGTGAATTTTTTCGCAAGCTCTCTGACAAGCACTGAGCATACAGTGTTTATCAATATATACGTTGGGTAAGGGCAAAACTCGCTATATATATTAACATCTCCCCAATGCAAAAAATACATCTTGAAAATAGTTCGCGGTACCGGCTGCATCACCCGACTCGGACTGGCCAGCCGACCTCGGCAAGCTCGGTGGTCGAATGGTTTTCGATGTCTGCACTAGAAAGCAGGAGGTCGTGGGTTCGAGTCCCACCCAAGCAAGCTAGTGAATTCTTTCACAACCTCTCGGACAAGCATTGAGCATACAGTGTTTATCAATATATGCATCGGGTAAGGGCAAAATCTGTTATATAAATTAACATCTCCCCAATGCAAAAAAATACATCTTGAAAAACTATACCAATGTAAGAATGTGTTCAAGTCATATTTGAAATCACTTTTGCCAATTAATACATCAACATTATCATGATGATATATTTTCAATGTTTGAAATAAAAATACAAATATCCAATACATAAATTTAAAACATGATTCACCAAAAGTACGCACTTTGAGATAGAATATAGTTTAGTTATAACAATAAGAACAAAATCTACAAAACTTGATGTAAATGTTGTTACTCCAATACAAAAGATTTTGAAAGCCATCTTTTAATACAAACTTAAGCATTCCCCTGATGCTTACAGCTGCCTTGAATCCTCAGCCATTTCTGTAACATGTACATATTACATTTTGACTTTGAAGAGTTAAAATTTTTGGAACATTTTAAAACTGCCTCATTTAAAATTCTTGGATACAGATCCTTTTAAATATACGTTACAATATCTTCAGCTATATGACATTATGTTGTGCTGTAGGAAGCTGCAAGTGCCCACTCAGCCTCACTCCAATCAAGGGGACATATTTCCCTCATGAGGATGGGACACGTGCTGCATTGTGCGTAATGACATGAGTAATTCATAATGCACTGCACTACCAAGAGGTTGCCACAGAGAAGCCATTTTTCAAGTTTACAGCCAACAAAAACATGGTGCACTGCAATGTGAATTGCCCATATTTTGGGGTGGATCAAATCATGGAAAAGTTGAAAGATTGAAGAAGTTTTACAAGTTAAATGAATGCAACACATGACATTATGGCAAGAAAGAAATCCTGTCTCAGCACAAGCCTTTGGGGTCAGCATTTTACAACAGCTCTTCCTAATTAACACCCTGACCGTAACTCTCTACTCCTCAACAAAATACAAACCAAAACAAAGCGTCCAGGGCGCAAAATTGAGAGGGTATGTATAGGAGATGGTGAAAAGTGTCTTCATGAACGGGTATGAACGGAAGAGGGTGAAAAAGTGTCTTCTTGAGAGGGTATGAACGGAAGAGGGTGAAAAAGTGTCTTCATGAACGGGTATGAATGAAAGGTGAAAAAGTGTCTTCATGAGAGGGTATGAATGAAAGGTGAAAAAGTGTCTTCATGAACGGGTATGAATGAAAGGTGAAAAAGTGTCTTCATGAGGGGGTATGAATGAAAGGTGAAAAAGTGTCTTCATGAGAGGGTATGAATGAAAGGTGAAAAAGTGTCTTCATGAACGGGTATGAATGAAAGGTGAAAAAGTGTCTTCATGAGAGGGTATGAATGAAAGGTGAAAAAGTGTCTTCATGATATGCTGAAACTGAAAGAACAACCTGCGTGTCTTTCACAAGTTCTGTAGAATTTATCATTGACAGCTCAGTTTAATCTTCTTATTCTTCTTATTACTATTGGTTTCCTCGTTTCATTAAAAAAACCAGAAATTAAAGAAAAAAGCACAAGGCTACAGCCTGCCAGGTTTGCTAACATACCCTACTTGTATTTAGGGATCAGTCTGAGCTTGATATAAGCCATAGTCATGAAGCCGACGCACATGATGACTAGGGCTAGCTCATTCTTCCAAAGACCCCAGTGGGAATAGTCAATCCCTTGTCCCTCCAGGTACATCTCCCCCGTCATCCTGTGGGAACAAAACCCAAACAAAGGGTCAGCTGTGCTTACAAGCCAACCATACCAGTTTCAGTCTTTAATCAATGGGCTGAGAGTCTTAGCAAACAAGTTCAGTTTAATTGGATCCAAGGTTGATATTACAAATCACCATGATTCATCATATCTTAAATTGCGATAAATAACACATGGAAGCTTACAATGGCTGGTGTTGATGACTTCAAACAAATTTGTGACGAGTCAAAAGCATTGTTCCTTCAATTTCAAAGGTAACGTCTTGTAACACATGATTGCCTGACTATGCCACTTTGTGGACCCCTGGATTTTCCTTATGCAAGCAAGTTTTGGAAAGGCATGCTTTTGCTGACAGGATTTTTGCTGCAGTTGATGCCGTCACATGCAATAATTAAAAGAAGCTACCCTCCATACAGCTGGTAACTGATGGTGCCATTTTCTATGCCTGCCAGTTACACGGGAGCATGCCACAAGGGTCAAAGGTTAAATTTAACTCCTGCCTACCTCATTGTGACGTTGTTGACCTCTCCACTAAATGTCAAACCAACAAGCTCGTTTACGCTAAGAGCCTGGCAAACAAGAATACAAAACAATAGCTATCCACAAATGTTTGGAGATACAAACTTTGATGTCATGTACAGATATGTAACCATTTACTGGCCAAACAACTGAGGAATCAAAAGATCCACACCAGACTGATCAATTTTAACCAACCAGGTTAAAAACACGACAGCCACAACTGAAGGCAAGTATATGTTGGGGTATTCCAAAACAGTATTTCATTACTTCAAAAAGTGACAGGAAGGCAATCTGTATTATTATTATATATTTCTGGTAATGACACCAAGGATTCCTCAAAAGTGCCCTAGGTTTCTTCAGGCTTGCGAGCGCAAGCCTGAAGAAACCTTTAGAGAGGAGACAGTGAGAAGCAGTTACAGTTTCAGAGGTGGGAGGAAAACCCCAAAGGAATATTCCAGGTAAAACCCATGGAATCAGGTAGGGACTAGAAACCCAATCTACATGTGGACCGGGCCAGGATTCAAACCCGGGCCACAGAGGTGGAAGGCGAGGAAAGAACCACTAGGCCAACCCGACTCCCCATGGAATTTGATGGGTATTTAAATTCTTATAAAGAAAATATATGTGTCAATCAAAGCAAGAGAACAGTGTACACAACAGTACAATATAGCAAAAAGCAGCACACTGTGTAGTAGTAAATATTCATCAGTTCATACAGTAGCTGAAAAATTGTCCAGTCTTTAATATGCTCATGATAGCCTGGCAGCCAGAGGGGTGAAACCTGTTTTGTTGGATATATAAGGTTTCTTTGCATATTCTGAGCAAGGAAGTCATACTTTTGAAGAATTTGAATGATGAAACTTTGTCAGGGTTGTACAATTTCAGATATCGATTATTTCTCTTTCTTTGGATAGTTCATCAATGCATACTATGTTTACACACTTAAAACAAAAAACTAACAAATTTTAATGAAACCGATGTCCCATATTTACACATAAAAATGAATTAAAAAAAAAGAATAAAAGCCTCAAACTACAAACTGAGGTGAGGTGCAGTTAGGGAGTGGCCTTGATTGTGCTTGGTTGTTGTGTAAACAAATTCAAATCCATTTTAACATTAAACCAAAAATATAAAGTGAGGTTTCCCTATGCTGTTATTTTCAATCCAACAAGTGGCAATAAGCTTAAATTTCTAAGAAAAGACATTAGGAGTACATTAAGGGCATGGCTGGAAAAGGAAGTAACTGATGGAATAAGACACTCACTTACAAGTACATGCATATCAGATTTTGAGTGCCGTAATATTGTTGATACATGTGTATATATTTCACCTGAAACTTTAGTGCCATGATTTTGTTGAAATTTAACTTTAACTTTCTAAACACCACAACACACCATTGGACTAAAAATGGGTTCTTGAGGTATGGGATTAATGGGGCTTTTTGGGGGGTGGGTGGGTCAGGGCAAATATTTGTTAAACTTAAGTATATTGGATATTCACTGTAAGTGAAATGTTGATTGAACTATTTCTCTGGGTAACAGAAACAAGGTTCTTTGGCGCAGCAATGCCTGTGCACTGCACTTAAAATGAAAACAGATCTTGTAAGATTGATCTTATTGCTTCACTATAGCAAAGTTTTTTCAACATTCAAACAAAGGTTTACTGTATCACAGAAATGTTCTCCAAAATCTAAAGAGCAAGGAATGCTTGACTAACAAATTGTCCCATCTGGATATAAGTCACAATGAATTTCTGACAAACACTGTACAACTGCTGATCTCTTGTGAACATGAATTATTGTCTAGCTTGAGCTCCACTTCTGTCCTCTCTGTATCAGGTTGTGATGGTGTCCTATCTAGAGATGACAGAAAGGAAGCTTTTGCTTTTGGTGTTTGACCTTGTCCTCAATGAAGTATGGCATTGCAACCATTACATTTGTGGAGGCGGTCTTTTTAGTTGAGTGCAGTTTGACAAGGCAAACCCTTCTACATTGCCGTATGGGCTGCAATGGCTCTATCTGCCACCACTTTTAACCACTTCCTGTCAAGGACTCCAGAGTAAGAAATTGCCAAAGGAGTTGACACCGAACACGCATGATCACAATGATCGTGAGCACGGGTCTACCCAATGAGCGACTCCATATGCAATCACATGTATACATGTACAACGAGCACTCGCACAGTATAGTGCGGTGGGCAGCTAGGTTTGGAAGCTGGATGGATGAGGTGCTGGAACTGGTTCTGGTAGGAAATTAGCATCAAGAAACATTCTCAATTGCAAGTTCTTGTCTGCACTTTCTGTGTTCTGCAGCTCTGGACAGTGATGTTAGGGGAAACAGAACTGACTTAAATTAGCTCTAAATTTGCATCGACATATCCTGAGTAACGCCTGACCATGTCCAAGTAATTAAAAAGGCGATTTGCTGAGTTCAAGTTACTCGGATTACAGCTCAGACGAGCATTGACAATTATTATGTACATGCACGTCCTACGTGTTCAGCACGTGTTTAGGTATCCTTCATGTCGCTGCTGGAGTGAAAGATAGAGAAAAATCCGTTTTCCTTGCTAGTTCAGAGCATTGGAATTCAACGTCACTGCAGTTACATGGTCAGAGACGTGGGTACCCACAATAATGGAAGCTGCTGTATTTATAACCAAGCAAGGAAATTAACAGGTAATGGCAAAAAGGTCTACTGTTGCACTGACATACAGACAGACTGCCCGTTCTGGGACTGTTAGAGTTAATGAAGTCATGAAGCACAGTTTGTGTGTGGGGGTGCAGGTGTGTGTGAGTTTGTTTCTGTATTCAATTGGGGACCCTGAACAATAGAGGACAATAAGGTCCCTGATTGACAGAGGGTCCCCCGATTGACAACATGTACAAAACATATGGATGGTCTTCTAAAAAAGTTAAAGTACAAACAAAAGAGGAACAATAGGGGGTCCCCAGTTGCAGGCAAATACACACTTGTGTGTGTGTGTGGGGGGGTCCATGTACAGCTAAATGGTTCCGTCATCAACATTCAGGTCCCCACATACATGTACTTCCCATTTTAGTGAGAACCCAAGGTTGCTACATGTATGCCATAAAATACATGTACACAAGTACACTATATGATTGTATCCAAGTTCTGATATCAGTTTTCCTTGCATCAACACATCAACTGGTGCACCTTTTTTTTAAACGTTTCCCTTTTGCGACGATACAGATGTTCATCGGCAGACGAGAGGAGTCTTCATCCATGTTAGATGTCCCTAGTTTCAAAGATGCCTGCAGTCAAAGCAAAAGAACTAAGCCACAGAACAATGAGAAGAGCTTCTTCAAAGTACTCGTAACAAGACTGTGTAAAAAGCTGCGGTCGACAGGAAGTCAATTTACTTGTATGTGTAAATGTAACTGCTATAAATTATTGAAAGACAACTGCAAAAAATTGTCAATCTGGTTTGGAAGGATAGTGTAAAGTTTTCAGCATTCATAAGATCCCGATATTTTTAATTGATCCCCATATCATTTGAAGTGTCTGGAAATCTTCAGGACAGAAAAGAAGTTGGCAATTTTTATACGATACACTTAAGGAAAAATGCCCTAAGACATGAAAGCCGTTTGGCTTCATGTTTTCAAAACACAATTTGCATATTTCATTGTTATTCCCAAAAGACAAAAACATATTACTACTGGTTCACAGTGTTTGATTATTTACATGTTTATGTACACGTAAATTGTTCAATTTCATTTGCTTCTGTGTATAGGCACCCTTCTTGTTGCTGCTGAAGTGAAACCTAGAGATAAATCTGTGCTCTATGTTAGTTCAGAGCATTGAAATTCAACATAGCTGCAGTTACGTACATGTAGATGTCAGAGGCTCAGGTACACACAATAAAGGATGTTGCTATACAACCAAGCAAGGATATTAACTGGTAATGGTGTAAAGGCCTACTGTTGCATTGACATATACATGTAGACATATTGCCAGTTCTGATTAACACAGTTATGAAGCAAAGTTTGTGTTGGGTGAGTTTGTATTACACATTCAAATCGTGGACCTATAACAATAGGGGACAATAGGGTCCACGGTTGCCAAAGAGTCCATGGTTGGAAAAGGGGGGGGGGAAATATGGGAGGTCTTCCAAAAAAATTGAAGTATGAACAAAAGAGGAACAATAGGGAGTCCACGATTGAAGGCGTTTACACACTTGTGTGTGTGCAGGCGTGGCATACATACATGTAGTGTGGACCTCTGCACAAAAGAAGTCCACTTAATATAGGGTGCGACGGCATAGTGTGGACTCGGACACGTCCACACAATGTTCCCCCCCTTCCGAAAAACAGTTTCAGAGGCAATTTGGGGTCAAGGTTACCTGTGGCAAGATAAAGAGGAACTGTCCAGGGAATCACTATCAAAAATCCAGCTCGAAGGAGTTATCCTAGTTAGAGAAAAAGGAGCATTTTCTTCAAGTTTCCTTAACCACAGGAGAACAAAGGAAAGTCCACACTTTGTATGGAAAACAGGTATGTAAAAAAAAGTATGTTTTTGCATTCAATTGGGGACCCTGAACAATAGAGGACAATAAGTTCCCCCATTCACATAAGGTCCCTGATTGACAACTGGGTACAAAACTTATTGGTGGTCTTCTAAAAAAGTTGTAGTACAAACAAAAGAGGAACAATAGGGGGTTCCCATTTGCAGGTAAATACACACTTATGTGTGTGCGTGTGGGGGGGGCCATCTATGTACCGCCATCATGAATGGTGCCCTCCTCAACACCCACATGCCTGGTTCCCCACTTTAAGATTCAGGTCCCTATATACTCCCCATTTAATGAGAACCCAAAAATACATGCACACATGTGCGATGTTTGTGTCCATGTTCTGACTTCAGTTTTCCATGCATCAACACATAACCTGGTGCACCTGTAATAAATATTTTCCTTTTTTGCGATAATACAGATATTCATCTGCAGAGACATGAAGGCAGTCTTCATACATGTTAGATGTCCCTGGTATCATTGAGGGAAATGCAGGTTGAACTAGGACTGATCCACAGAATGACAAGACCTGCTACATCAAAGTACTCGTATCAAGATTATCTAAAAACCTGCAATTGACAGGAAGTGAGATTTACTTGTATGTGTACATGTAACTGCTACAACTTATTGAAAGACAAATGCAGAAATTTTTCAAACTAGTTTCGGAAGAATAATCCAAACTTTTCAGCACTCATAAGATCCCGATATTTTTAATTGATCCCCATGCTTTGCTTTGTGTGTGAAGGTATCGTTCCTGCTGCTGCTCAAGTGAAATCTGTTCTCCATGAGAGTTTCAAGGACGGGAATGTAATGTTACTGCGGTTACATGTACATGCACCCCTACCCAATATGAAGGAAGAAGTTGGGCAACCAATTGCAAGGAAAATAACAAGGTAATCAGTACTGAGAAGGCCTGCTGTTGGTATTGTATTCTGATTAAGGCAAATCGCTTAATGATCAACATTTTTTCCAGGCATCAACACATGAATTGATGCATAATGAATATATTTTCCATTTTTAGATGACGCAGCTTTCATGTTCAATTTTTTGAATTTTTTTTCAACATACACTTAAATTCCACATTCAGAGTCTGTGCACTCACAGATTTGTCCATTTCAAATTCAGTAGGCAATAAGGAGTTGTACTTTTGAAGGAATTGTTTGAAACAATGTTTGTATTATTTTCTTGCCATCTTTGAAATCGACATTTCTTAGTTTGTATACACCAAAAAGATGACGTCATGATGTGATTTATTATTGATTTTTCAATATTTATTTTAGCCCACTTGCTTCGTACACGTTTTTGAGGCACTATTTTCATATCTTAGTAATTGTTGATCATCGTCAAACTTATAACTATGAAACGAAGATAATTCTAAATATTTACGTCATGATGACGTCATCAAGTGATTTATTATTAAATTTTGAACATTTAAATATTCCGTTAAATTTATAAAAATCCACATAAAATCAACCATGGCCTCCCGCAACATTCTGTTTGTAGCAAGTGGCAGGATAAAATATGGTCTTGAATTCATCTCGTGTGGGTCAAATCACGTGACCCTTCCGGTCGAAACCGGAAGTGGCCTTCTTGTTTAAAAGTGGTAATAGGTATCAAGTTGTTTTCAACGGTGTTAGTCTGTTGGGTCATACAATTCTTCAATCATCTACTGATGACATCACCTAATTCTCGCGTGCCCTCTAGCAACAGGTTAAAAATTATAAAAAATGCATTTTGAATAGATGTCTGTGGTGAAGCTTGTCTGAATCGCCTGAAAATTGACCTAGATGACCAGCTTTACGCAGTCAACATGTGTGTGAAGTTAGGGACTGATGACGTCATCAGACCGGAAGTTACAATAAAACATTTTTTATTCTTCAAAATTCAGTAAGAAATCAACCGTAGGAGATATAAGTGTGAATTGTGCATGAAATGACAGCTAAAACATTGGAGTCAGCTGCATGAAGTGCATAACTGAAAGATCTTCGCTCCTCATTGCCGACCCCGAGTGATGATCAAGATAGAGGTCATCGATGTGCATGTCGTGACACAATCAACATTGTCAATAGTAAACTTGACAAGATTCTGGAGACCCTTGCCACTATGGGGGACAAGATATCCAACCTGGAAACAAGCTTTCTGATGTAAGTCACACCGTCTCCACTCATGATCAGGAAATCAGTGAATTAAAGACAAGCTTGAACATGATTGGCGATAAACACCAGGAATGTATTGGCCTTACCAACAACCGTGCTGACGGTAATTACCGATACATCTTTAAGCTCGAGGATCGCCTTGATGACCTTGAAAATCGAAGCAGAACAACATCGTGCTACATGGCATTCCAGAGGGGGCTGAAGATAGCTTAACTTGCGAGCAATTTTTGTCATATCTCTTCTGCAACCATATGAAGCTGGAGGGTGGCGACATAATTGAGATCGAGAGAACTCACCGTACCCCCACTCGACGGCACCTTGCTACCAGCTCTACAGATAGCAGTGATCGGCCTGCAACACCCCGTCCCATCCACTGCCGACTTCTGTGTTACACTGATCGGCTATTCATCTTGAAAAATGCATCAAGAACACTCAAGAATAACAACTTCATGGGATATAACATCTCCATATCAAACAACGTTACAGCCTATGTTAACGACACACGTAAGCAACTTTGAGAAAGACTCCTGGCATCTATTCGTAATGACGAGCGTGTAAGCTTCGCCTATATCCCTTGGATCGTGCCAGCAACCATCACGTACAAGCTCCATCGTGGTTCCTTCAAGACATTTCGTCTCAGGGAAAGTGTGATCGACCTGTCCTTCTGATGACATCTACAAGTTTAAGTCTGTAACTGCTTGTTATTTCTGGTATTTATAGTTTTGTTCTTAAATTTCTTTTTCCTTCATTAGTTCTAATTATGACTATCCTTAAATCATCACAATCATGCGACTTTTGGCTGTTTAAATACATGTATACCGAATTTCCTCCCGCTTTGATTTTGTTATCAAATGTAGGAAGTTTGGTATATCTAGATAGTACCAATATTTATCTGGGCCATATTCTGGCCCTTTCAACTGTTAGATACCAAGGACCCCTTCTCTGGAATCAAATCAGATCTTTTTGTCCAGTGACGACAATTGCAACTTGTAAAAGGCATTATAGGAAACTTTTATTAAACGCGGGGACTATTGAGAGTATGATTTCTTCTAAACAATACCAAAGTTGTATTTATACATTTTTAAACCTGTAATTAGGATTTTATGTGGTTGTTGTACACAACTATTTACTAACTTGAACTAATGAAGTCCATCACGCATTATTCTGTATTATTAATTTTGATATTTGTTTCTCTCAAGAATTGTAAAGTTACATATATTATCTTTGCAGAGGGCAGACCCCGTACAAGCTTCAGCTTTTTGTCTGACCTCCCTCCATACTAGTTAAATCCCTTTTATTGCCTTATATTATTTAATTATGTATAGTATGGGTAATAATTAAACCAAACCAAACCAGTGTACTTTTTCACACACGTGAAGCACCGCCGAAAAAAACCCTAAAATATAAATTGCCTACTAGAACATCCCAATCACAATACTGTGTGTGCAGTGGCTACTGTGTGCGTGGATGCCCAATATCTGCCTGCAACATAGACAACACAGTGCATAGTCCATATACTCAGGACTTGGCAAAATACTGAGCACGTGCTGCCCAGAGCAGATCGCAATGAATGGAACGCCAAAAGAGATAAATGTTTAAAATGTCTAATTTGTGTTTTTCTGCGATAATTAAAATGTTTTGTATTGTTTACTGTATTGTACATGTCTGATTGGGTTGAAATGTTGCAGGTAGTTAGGAAGGGAAGGTTTACAAAGGGAAATTGACCTCATGTGATGACAATGGCATCAGCAGACGAGTCATGTGACATTAAAGGTGCATCATTTAAACTACTATATCTCCTGAAGTGTATGTCCAATTAGGTTCAAATCTTGCAGATATCTTGAAAAGGGAGTGCTTTAGAGGAATTTTGACCTCAGGTGATAATGACATCATCAGGACACAAGTCATATGACATTAAAGGTGCACTCTTTAAGGCCCCATATCTCCTGAAGTACATGTCCGATTGGGTTCAAATCTTGCATATATCTTGAAAAGAGAGTGCTTTAGAGCAATTTCTACCTCACGTGACAGTGGCGTCATCAGGTGCACATTTTAAAGCCCTGTATCTCTTAAAGTACGTGTTCTATCTGGCTTGCAGATACAGTAACTTGAAAAAGAGGGGTGATATTTACAAAAAATGACTTGATGTGATGATGCTGTAGTTGTTCAAATGTACAAAAGAATGCAAAAAAGCCCTCTGTTCTGTTGGCAATCAGACACATAAGCTCTCGACCTTTTTTTAAATTCTGCATCATTATAACTCACATTTAAGCTGTATCTGAACAGGCTCAGGTACTGGATCCACTGAATCCAGGATGGCAATGAGGAAATATTGACAAGGAGTCCACTGAAGACCTGAACAAAAAAGAACAAGTAGAAATAATGATACATAAGAGACAAATTTGTCATGTACAGTGCAGTAGAGTACTGTTATAACCATTGCCACCTTCCACACAAACGGCGATAACAAAGTATACCCTTTGGAATTTGACAGTTTGACTCTGACAAATACTGCCACTCTGAAAACACATAAAACACAAAATATTCTTAAACTGCCTCAAACAGGCAAACCTACCATATCGCACTTTGGCGCATGAAGTCAAATGTCCACGAAAATTCGTTTCAAATAAAATTCAGAAAGTAAAGACAGTGATGAAGATGCCTTTTTTCAGTCTTAATTTCAGCAAAGCATCCAAAAATCACCGAATGATCTCTTTAAGACTGTGCCATTATTTTTTTGCTCGGTAGTAGATTTTGGAGGATGCAGGAAGATTACTAGGAAAAGTACTACTCAACTTCATATTTGTAAAAACTTTCCAAAAGGAGTAACAAAATCAGGAATGGAAGCAATCAAAACCTTTATTAAAAAAAGGCCAGTTCTCACCAGCATAATGACATATGTCATGGAGATGAACAGTGTAGCAATGCTCTGTAATGTCACACTACAGCTAATGGCAAAGGCAAGACCACAAGCAGTAAATGTTGTTAGCACCAAGTTGAGCAGATACACGAAGTAGGCACTGGCTGTATGCTTCAGACCTGGTCATTACAAAGAAAACTGATATTAGATAACATTATTACTCCTGATCTACAGTTTATCATCAATTTGGTATCTGCTTATTACTTCCCAATAAAGCAAACACCGACCCAGGTTAGGCAGCTTCATGAATGTCACATCAACAACACAACCTTACGACATGAGGTGAATGGCCTCACCTTTCCAATGAATGTGCACAAAACCTACAGCATTAGACCTCAGATTGGTGGATGCCAATGACATAAATGTTTTACTACAATTCTTCACAGATTCCAAAAGGCTTAATTCTTTGCCTAGAATTAGAAGACATAACTGCTGTGGTTGCCGTGCTCACACACAGGTTGTACACACACAGACAAGTGTGTATTTGCCTGCAACTGGGGACCCCCTATTGTTCCTCTTTTGTTTGTACTTTAACTTTTTTACAGGACCACCCATATGTTTTGTACACAGTTGTCAATCGGGGACCCTCTGTCAATCGCGGACCTTATTGTCCTCTATTGTTCAAGGTCCCCAATTGAATGCAGAAACAAACTCACACACACAGCAAATTTTCAACTAATAAAATGTGCATGTAAAAGTGTGGGCCTGCTACAAAATGATGCCTTCTCAGATTGGCTTGCAGAGGATTTGAGTTTCAGTAAATTGCGAATACAAAATCGTAATCTACATGTACAGTGTGCCTTTGCAGGTATCGTATCAATTATATACCAAAGTAGGAGAAAGTATGAAGATCTTGCAGAAGGACTTGAGTACCAAAGTCCCATGATGAGATTCAATCCTACTCAAGGGCTCTTGAAGAAATCAAATTCCACAATGCACCATTTATAATGGAATAAATATGTGCTTGGTCGATCTTCACTAACGGTTTAACTAACGTTTAAGACAGACGAAGCACATATTTATTCCCATTCATAAATACTGTTTTAGTCCGAGAGTCAAAAAAAGTCAATATGCTATACATTTCCAAGAATTTTGTTCAAGAAATTTTCTTTCATTTTCCCAAACACCCCCGTCCATTTTATGGTACATTCCTTGTGCAAATAGTCCAGAAGAATCTCCTGAAATGGACTTGGCATGCGTGTGGCATGTTCCGCGTGACCTGGCGCACACAGACTCTTGACCAATAGAAATGGCTTAAACTGTCTCATATCCAGGTGCAAGCATTTTTTTTACGCAGCGGGCATTATCAAATTGCAGTGGGCATTATCAAGCATTAATACATGGCCACATTGCACATTGTTAAATAATGAAATTGTCTGAGATATTTATGAATACCGGATATATTGAGACTCAGCTTTTTACAATTATCCTGCCAGTGAATAGCCACAGCCACAGACACCAATTTCCATTACAGACACATGTGATCTTTGGCCTACTATTAACACAGTCCATGTAAAAACTACTGCTAAAAGAGAACTTAACCTAATGATGATACAGCCCTTAAATGACTACAATTTCTCAAAGAATTTTTAAAGGCATGACTGACTTTAGAAGTTTTATGTACTGGTTTTGAACACTGCTATAAAATATCTTGAATTGAGAACAGGAAAATGGTGAAATTAGATTTCAAAAGTCAACTGACTCAATTTCAAAACTGTTGGCAAGGTGCTAAACTGGATGATACATATGGATCACTTAGATAATCATGGAATTAGCAAGTTGAAAATAATTAAGTTTACCTTACCTGAAAGAGTTACTATTCACTCATGCAGCAAAAAAAGTTAGGCACAGATTTTAATGAATCCTAGAAGGTTATAGGCAGGTTAGATGAGCACAGGATTAACTAGTGTAATAAGGGAATAAATATGTGCTTGGCCAGTCTTAAACATGCATTTAGGACAGGCTAAGGAGAATGGACATGGCTCATGCCAGAGCCACAGGCGAGGGCACTATCAGCATCAAGTCTCCTGAGCTGGTCTTAAAAGTTATGGATTTCCAACGATTTTGTTCTAGAAGTTTACTTTCATTTTCCTGAACATCCCCATCCATATTACAGTATATTCCTTGAGCAAGCTGTCAAACACAATCTCCTATATGGACTTGGCATGTGCATGGCGAGCCACGTGCACATGGACTCTTGACCACTGAGAATCGATTAAACTGTCTCGTACCCAGATGCCAGTGCATGATTTATGCAGCAGGCATTATCATTTCTTTGCGGGCATTATCAAATGATAATACACGGTCAAATTGCACATTATTGAATAGGGAGACTGTCTGAAGCACTTTTTTATGAATCTGGGTTAAAATTACTGACCAAGCATCCAGTATGTGATGAGAGAGAAGAGAAACGTTGGTATGAATCTCATTGGAAGAAGATCACAGACAATCTTGGAGAAGAAGAATGTTGAGACTCTGTAGTAACCACTGGCTGACTCGTGTCTGTGTTGAGAAATAGCAGACTACTACTTGAAGGACAGTGTTATTATAAAGACCTGTGACACTGAAAACTGGAAGAACATCAATCTCCTCATTCAAAATACCATTTCTAGATTTAATAAACCGCCAAATCCTATGCAATGACCAATACAACATTAGTTTGTTTTTTTTTTCCACTGACAGGCTAACATACTGTAATGACCAGTATACTTAGGCCAATATCAACACTTTTGAAATGACCAGTATACATTCAATTGGAAAAGTATCTCACTGATAATAACCTTATTCATAATTTGCAATCCGGCTTTAGAAGTTCTTATTTAACTGAAACCACTTTAATTTCCTTAACTGATTATATTCAATCTCAGACGGACATGGGTAAATTATACTTGTGTGGTTTAATTGAACTTACTGAAGCCTTTCGATACTGTAGACCATGTAATTTAAAAATTACAAGCTATGGGTATTCATTAAGATTCTAGTCATCGGTTTCGATCAAATCTTTCAAACAGACAGCAAGCTGTCAGTGTTAATGAGGCTAAATCTCAACCAATGGGAATAACATGTGGTGTTCCACAGGGTAGTATTTTAGGGCCACTGCTCATCCTTTGTGATGTGAATGACATGAACATAAGTGCCCAGTCTAATTTGCTGCTGTATGCTGATGATAAGGTTTCAGAAATGCATTGTCATTCTACTAATGGTTTTACCAGTTTTGTAGTTCCAAGAATAAACGGGCTTGAGTGCAAGACATTTTTTTAAATTGGAATTCTTAATGGAATTTACTACCTAATAACATCAAATGCTGCAATAATTACAATCAATATAAAAAAGAAGTAAAAATTCACTATTCTTCTGTATGCACTACTTCTGAAGCAATTTCATATATCTTTAAGTATGGTACATGTATGTGCTTACTTTTGAGTTCTTAAGAACCCTGATGTTATTAACAGCTTTTCAGTTTATCCCTGGCTTTATAATTTGATGTATTTTTTATGTATGTATATGTTGTTGTTTCCTTGTTTACTTCTGCCTAAATAAATTAACAAAAAACAAAAGGCTTGTCCCTATAAAGAGGGGCCCGATGGGCAAGGTCCCATCTGGTGAGTAGTTGCCCTCCTCCCCCAATGGCAAACCATTAGCATCAAAATTATCTGTTTTTCTTGTGATGTTCCCTGTTGCAGTTACATGTTCATGTACTGGTACATGTACTATGCCCTCCCCCCACATGCCTGAGCTAGAAAGATGGGGATGGTTATGACAAATTAAGAATTGTCACAATAGTCACAAACTGAGAATCCTTTCAGTACAATAAACATCAGACACTGGAGTAGATTATGTATAATACTTGGGAAAACTGCATAAGGCAGGTTTCAACCTGTTTTGCCAATGTAAAGGATGGTCCACATAGTATCAACACAGAGTAGGATGAATTTTGCTTGAACTTACATGAAGATGGCCCTTTCCTTGATGAAGATCTCGATTGCACTCATGTTACCGAACACCATGTTCATTGTCACAAAAAGAAAGGCTCCCACCCTGCAAATACATACATACCAACAGCATGTTAAAGGTTCCATGACACAGATTTTGTTCAAATTTCCAAGCCTCTCTCTGAACAGTAAAAGAGAGACTTCCTCTTTGGTTCAAATCATTTTAAAAGAGCATTTCAAAAAGTGCCATGCTGGTTTCGTAATAGGATATGCAACTTGTAATTAAAGTGCATGAGGATCATGACCACTGTCAAATATTTATCAGCAGTTAGTAAACTGGAGAAAGCTTCACTTTAAAGTTGAGTTGCCTCAGTCTACCCGGCCTTTGGATCCATTTGATAACCTTGGGAAGAATATTTCCACTGTTTTGTGAGAGCTGTAGCATCATTGATGACTGGCAGTTTACAACTTTCACCAACATTATTGCGTGAAGATGAATCCTGACCAAAGAATCTTTCTCTTTTACTTGACAGTTTCCTCTTTTGAAACCTTTTACGCAACTTTTGGCTTTAACACCCAAACACAAAATCTGCTTGGACATAAATGTACACCATGAGCTGCATTACCTGTTCTGGATGCCAGAGTTCAGTGAAGTGTCCATCTGCCAGTAAATGAGTCCAAGGATTACGGCAAGAATCACAACTGTCAATGGCTGGACAAAAAGGTCAAAGGATTTGATGAGCAGGAAAATGGCAAGAATTTACACTTGTATATGCAGATGTGAGACTAGATTCTGTGGTCAACACATACATGAATGCAGAGCTCTGGCCAGCAATAAACTTAAGGGAAGACTTTTTCGTTGAGAATATTTGTGGAACATATTTTCTTCAAAAACTATCATGAGCACCTACAAGACAAGCATGTGAGTACATCTTTACTCTCAGCAGAGGAAATACCGAACATTATCAGTAATAATGAATCTGCAGTTTGCCAGCCAAGGTGCATTCCCCTCAAGCACAGGCACTATGTTTTTGTGCATATTCTGCTGAAAACTCGTCACATGCACTCCACTCTCTTGGCACAAGGGTGATGGATCTCTACATGGCTCTTGAGATAGTCAACCAACATGATCTGTATTATTCCTCGAAGAAGGCTGTGCCAGACAAATAGAGGATATGTACTATCATTTCTAAGTGAATTTTTCAGCTTACCTGGAAAATAGAAAGTTGTGGGTTCCTGACAAAATTGATGAGGGCTCTCCTGGAAACATACCACAACTGAAAAATAAACACAAATTTATTTGAAATTTCTTCTGAGCTGATAGTCAAAGTACACTTCATTTCAAGAAAATAACTTTATGTATTACACTCCATATAAGGTTTTTGTATAAAATGCACTGCCAATAAATTTCTTCAATGCATCCGTGTGTGTAAGGTACCAGAGAACATGCACCCAGACTGTTAACCTCTTCTCTTTTGTGTACGCTCAGGATAATGATGAAAAAATCTGGATGATCCCTGGTCTACTCTCTAATGCACCTTACGTAGAAGGTATTGGCATAATTAATATACATACACACCAAAAGGGCTTGGGTAAATGATTCAGACTGCATGGTAATACCTGGGTAAGGAAGGACGTAGCGTATTGAATACTGGGAACAGTGACATCCTCGTCACTGTTTCTATGCAAAGAATAAATCTCTCCAGCCTCTCTCATCACAGTAGTGCATGTATCTGATTGTCTGTAGAGGTCTGCTAGTGACGGTTGGTCCATCTCAGTGAGAACAACCTCGGTGGCCTTCTCAGCACTGTCTTTATCTATAGGGAATTTACAAGAGTCATTTCTCTGTAAAGGCTTTTGGTATTTTCTCCAGTGAACCTTCCCAAATCTTCCATTAAAAAAAAAGATATATCGCATTACAAATTACCTGTGAGATTTCTTAGTGGTGCCATAACTAAAGGTCAAGGGTGGGGGGCACAGACCCCCTGCTCAAGACCTGAGCTATTTCTCTCTTTGTCCCCTCCCTCTTAGCTCAGACTTTGTAAAAAAAAAAGGCTTTGAAGTCTTTATTGAAGAAAGTCTGCCCCCTCCAGAAAAATGAGGCACTAAGCTACCCCATCAGCCTGGTTTCCATGTCAACATAAGAAATGTACAGAGCAATGCAATCAAGACGCAAACTGCAATGCAGACGTATAGAAACATGCCAAACAGAGGTATTGCCGAAAGTGCATACAAATGCAAACTAGCCTGCAAACGATCAGTAAAGTTGAGCCAGGCTCAACTTTGCCGTCTGTCTGCATCAAGTAGCCATGATATCCCAACACAAACACACATGATGGCATTACCGGTATGCAACGATGTCCCTCTCGCTCAGTTCCACAAAGTTTGCCCATTTTCTCTTTGATGCTTAAATATTACACCCTTATGATCAACTAAATAGCTGACCATCAACGAAATGCATGAAACTGGAGTACAGGTTTGGCATCGTGAAGTGGTACAGCCAGTCTAAAAGGGTATTTTCCACAAAAAATCACAGAGTTTCAGATGCCAATTTGTTTTAAATTATGGAAGGAATGACGTCATGCAACGTGTCCTCCGTTCGTGTCTCATGTATGTTTCAGAGAGAAATTACTAACTGTGCATGTCCCATTTTTAGCATCATTTGCACACGTAATGAAGGCCATGAGAATTTGTGTCAGGCAAACAGTTGCATCATTTCATGAAATTCATGTCTTATTTTAACTTTTTGGAAATAAAAATACCTGCCCAAAAATATTTTCATGATATTTCCTCCCGTGCTTTATGAAAAGAAAAATGAGAAATAGTACCAGAGTGATCAAAACTAGTGATTTTTGTGAAGAGCTCTTTTCGTAAGCAGTAGTTTGTTTACGTTTTGATGCAATTTTTTGAAGACTCGAAACAAAGAATTCGAAGTTTTCCTGAAGTTTTCCAAAGTGGGCTGTGGTGGAGAAAGGAGTGACGGTTTTAGATTTGCTGAGGGTTTTGCACTAGATTTTTTGCTCTTGCTAACCAGATGCATTTGCATATCAACCTAACTCAGCACCAGTTCCGTTTATCCTGCATAATCTTATGGCCTTGCGAGCATAAGAATTGAGTGACACAGGAACGAAAGACGAACACAAAAGTACATGTACATTAAGTCAAAATGAAGTTTATATTGAAACAGAGGTCTAGTTGTCATTGTAACATTGTCAGGAAATGTATAAATTCACGGTATATCCCCAGTTTTACATGTACTATGCAAGCATGAACCACATGAACATGTACATTGGCTCTGATGCATAATTTCCATGCATATGTATATATACATCGGTACGCATGTAACAGGCCCTAGTGTGTACTGTGCTCAGTACGGGGCTGGATTTGGTTTTGTGCATGGTAAAGACGTAGATCACACTGTGCAGGAGTGTCTCAAATAACGTATGAAAGTCAAACAAAAAATCTTTCTACATGTAGATAGAACTGATTGTATTGTGTAGTTGAGATTCTGGCCTGTCGTATGCAGTGTCTCACTGTTTTGGAAAAATTTCTACAATTGAGAAAAATTTTGTGGAAAAAAGACCAAGAGATTGCTTGAAAATGGAAATAGTTTATCGTCTTAGTATAATGGGCACCAATTCCTTAACATGTGTCCCCGTTTGTCTT